CTGTTAATTACAAATCTGGTGATAACAGCGATTTTCAGTGAATTTCAGAAAAAAAACACTTGAGGAAATTTAATGCAAAAACAACTTTAAAGTAAACTTAAAGGCTGCAGAGCAGAAAACAAGGGTGATTTCAATTTTACCTTAATACAGCTGATTTAATGAGTTAAATTACCTTATTTCAGTGTTATATAATAATCACATCAACCACTTGTACCCATGACTGCAGTCTACTGCTGTTCTAGTCCCCATAGGGATAAACCTGCGGATGGGCTGGGAAGGGGTTGATGGCACAGTGCTAGTAGCCTTTTTTATTTATTCATTTATTTTTAAATCAGCTATTTATTTATTCTTTGTAGAAAATTACACAAAGGGAGACAATGCACTGCAGTAAAACACAAACATCAGTTGGTTATAAACCAAGAGATACACTTACACTCCAAACAGGGGACTGTCCGGAGCATTACCCAGTGCTCTGAGGTTGTTTTGGCCTCCTGTGAACAGCTACCTCGGGGCAGTGATTTAAAGCAGGAGTGGGGAAAATCTCAGAGCCACACGCCAGGCGCACTGCTTCACCCGCGGTCACAGCGGCAGTCACCTGTGCGCACCCCAAGGACGAGCACAGCTGAGGCGCGCAGCCAGCCTCTCTGCCTCCGGCTGCCTGATTCGTTACTCTTAGTGCTTGATGAATTGATCGGAGTAAAGGTCATTTGAAAATAACAAAAATGAAACGCTAAAAAATAAGTGTGGGTAACGCATGAAGAAAACACTTGGTCTGTGTGTATATAGCTTGTTATTTTATTTTTTTTATTTGACGTTTTTAAGTTTTAACTTCTGTTTAATCGTCCTGCATGTCAGTGTCTCAGCATGCATGTCAGCATGTGTATGCGCTATCATTTCTGCAGCTCTGCTGAGTTTGGAGTTTTTGCATTGCCCTGAACACCTGAATAAATGAATTAACTTGAAAACTAAAAATTCCAGTTTATGGGTTGTCTCTATAGCTGCACAATGGTGCTGAAAATACCATATAAAATGAAATATGTTAATAATACATATAAATTCACAAATGATTATGTAGATCTTTGGCGCATTTAAGGATGGAGACTGCTTGTGCGTCACTAAAATGCAACTCATTCTCTCTCTTAATTTTTTTTAAACTACTAGACATCCAATAATCTCAGTAAAGCGATTTTTCATTCCTGCCTCAATAATCACGGCAGCCTGGGTATTCTGAAGACTAAATAACGCGCAGGGTAAAAGCAGCAAATGACCGGCTTGTCCTGCTTATGTTAATTATACAGGTTATATAGAAAAATGACACGTTTCACGTTTACACCCAAAGGAGCTGCTCGGTCACAGAAATCCATGCCATGAAGCTTCCAGAGCAGTTTTTTTTCCTTCTTTTTTCTTTTTAGATAAAACAAATAATGTTACTTATTTCGTTTCTATTTTATTTCATTCATTTTTCGTTCTTAATGCCACAGAAGACGTGGGACTCAACATGAAGTCATCAGCGCGACTTTTACTCACTGTGCGCGCTCGGCTCTCGGTGGCCCCGCTGCGTAACCTTACGGGGTCTGCCACTTCACGGCGGAGTTGCTGTGGCTCCTGGACGCTTCCACTTAGCAGTAACCCCGCTTACAGCTGATCGCGGAATAACTAGGAGCGAACACATTTCATCAACTGACTCGTTGCAAAAGTGGGATCCTGCTACAGAAACACGCTCAACTCAGCAAGACCTTCAGAAAGACGCATTCTTCCACAAATGTCTAGAAAAGTTTGATGATAATAGAATATTTCCCAAAACAAAACAAAAAATTATTGCTAATAATAAACGAATACCAGTAATTAATGTCAGTTATAATTAAAATATAACCTGAATGTCTTACTCCGCGAGTTTGTTGGGGGTTTTTTCTTTTGTAGAATTTTACATCTGTGCTTTTACTCATCTACGAAGCTACGGAGTTTAGACTGAAACTGATCACCCTGAGGTGAGGTTAAAGGATTTTTGAATGTCTTTAGACAGGTCTGATTCTCTAGTTGTTTTCAGTACTTGTTTATAGCTGCCATAATATTTCATTGCGAAGAATTTAACATATAATATCTTTGAGACAAACAGTGGGTGTCAAGAAATGACAGCAGTCATGTTTTAAAACTGTAAACCATCACATACAACGACAGTTATCAGCATAAACAGACACACTGGATTTATATAATGCATTGTGCTAAACTAGCTCTCCATTAATCCTTTGTGAATTTATAAGCTATATTCAAACCAAATTAAAGTCAGTGCAGAGATACACATAAAAGTGTTGAAGTTTTTTCTTATGTAATTGTTCTTTTGTTCTTGCACATTTTACAGCTTTTACAGCAGAATGCATGCTGTTGTATCCAGAATGATATTTGCCTTCTTTTAAATAAACAGAGCCTTCACGGAAAACCACTGGGCCCACTGTTGCCTCACAGCAGGGGGGTCCTGGGTTTGAACCCTGGCACCCTTTCTGTGTGGACCTTGCACTGACAAAAAATATTGCTAAGTTAATGTTGACTGTCTGAACCGAATACATTGTTGTCAAAGAGATTGTTGATCTCAAGAGTTCCACTTTCTGGTTAAATAAAGGTTGATGCCTAAAAATGTACACGTTAGCTATGCTCTGTGCTTTAATGCACCTCCCATCATGGATGCTGGCTATTGAACTGCACTGATAACAAGTCAGATGTCCTTCTCCTCTTTTGCACAGAGAATTAAAGGTTGATGTTATATATATATATATATATATATATATATATATATGTATATGTATATATATTCCAGTATTACGTTACATCAATTATAAAGAAAGTAATAAAAGGTTGCATGTGTCTCTTGTGGAAATAAACAGAAAACCTGCAATAATCAATAGTCATAATCGTAGCATTAAGAGTGCAGTGAATCGCTCCACTATGCTGCAATGCACTTTTTTACTGTTTCATTTTTTAGAGGATCTGCAATTTAAATGACTAATAAGCTGATCAGATGGCTGTTTGTGCAGCTCGCTGTAGGCATTGTTATCAAACTAAGACTCTTTTCCATTAGTTGAACAACCTGTAGGCTGATCAGCTGCTTGGCTGGCTTTAATCACGTCGTCATTGTGTGCAAACTCACCCATGGCATTTATGTTCAAAGACAGATCTGCATTTCATTTTATTTAAAAATAAAAATCTGATTTATTCCAGTTGGTAAAGTTACTCCGCTAAAAACATTACCTCACACTGGTCATGGTGGAAGGTCCCATCACTTTGCAGTTTGATAATGGATGTGTGATGGGATTTGGATATAGGACCCACAGATAAAAAAACTAAGGGGGACTTAATGGAGCCGGTCTCACACACCGAGACATTGATTCTGCTCCAGGAACAGATAACCACTAAAACGTCGACGCCTGTATCAGATAGCTCACAGAGACTTCAAAGTTGCATTGTGTTTTAATAATGCATACTACAGATCTTGGCACTTTGCTCTCTGGCACCGCATATCTTGATTTTAGAAAAATCAATAAAATCTAGCTGCAGAAAAAGTGTCCAAACACTTAGGCAAACATTTGAGGGGGGATGCATAGTAAGTGCGGGAGGTAATATGTGATTTAGTTTAAAGACAGAAAAGAGAGTTTGACACATAAAGGTTAAAGGTCACTGCATCCAAGGCCTGGACATGTTAAACAATCTGCCCCCCTCTCCCCACCACATACACACCCACACACACACCCACACACACACCAATTACTGAGGCTACTGTTGGACCGGGACAATTAATCAAGAAGGTCCTCTTTGTTTTTTCTCTCGTGATAACAGCTCAACTGGTGCTTTGCATATGAAGAGCAAAGCAAAGACACTGACAGACAAGCTTCAACTCAGTCCTATTTTACAATTGGAGAAAAAAAAGTGTTTGTTCTTTTTAAGATTGTTAATGTTTTGATTAATCATCAGGAGACTGTTTAAAACTAATCACATGACTCCCTGCTGCCATATTTGTGGCTTCTAAAGTGGCCTCCTTTAAGTGAAAATATAACACTTCTGATGCACATTTCACTGAGCCACATTACTGGATTGAAACCACAGAGCACTAACACAAATAAAATATAACACCAACAAAGTAAAAATATATGCAAAAACACAAACTAATACATAATAAAATATATAACTGTGTATAGATATAGAAATATGTGCACAGAAAAGTTGCTGGCTAATCTTCGCGCTCTATCTTGCTCTGTATGTTTTCTGTTTCTTGGGGAGCCATCATGTGCCGACAATCCTGAAACACAAACAATCACATGCAGGTCGTATTTTAATTAACTGGTTTCGACGATCAATCAACTTAGGTGATAATGGGTACGAGGGTGGGGCCGGAGTCAAGGGGTGGGGGTACTTCGAGTTAGCCATCCAGCTGTCGTGATGTCACCGGGATCCCCTGTGGAGCCCTCAGGTGACAGCCCATAAAAGGTGACCAGAGGTAAACAGGGGACACTCAGAGACACTTCGAGGGAAAGACGAGCGACCTCCATTCTCAACTGCTGTACATCCAGAGATCCATTCTAGCTGCTGCCATGTGGAAGGACTCAAATGGTAAGAGCTGCTCTCCAGATTTGAAAACTTAGAAAAACTAAACTGTGTGTTTTCAGGTTTTTCAGCAAAAAGCACTGTGTGCTGTGCTTTTTGCATGCTCAGTCATCCAGGTTGACAATTTTTAAAATCCCAGAAAGTTGAATCTGTTCATTGGGACGCAGCGTTTCTCATCCAAGTGATGTCTGGAGACTGAAAGAGTCACTTAGATGAGTGAAGAAACATTTGTCCTGCTGGAAACACTGCACTTGGATGAACCGTCAGCTTCCTGGGATACTGCACAGTGACTCACTCCAACAAGATCACAAGAAAGCTATCAGCTGGATTACCACATTTTACATCTTTATGTAGCTGCTAAGATAGTACAGCAAGAAAATTGGTCATCCCGTCTGATCTGATGGAAAAATCTGCTTTCGCTCCTTTCCACAGATGACGCCAATCCTGTGGCCTCTGGCAACGGCTCATCTCGCACTGCCAGTCGCAGGAAGAGGACCAGCTTCTCCAAAGAACACGTGGAGCTGCTGCGCGCCACCTTCGAGACTGACCCATACCCTGGAATCACCATCAGAGAGAACCTGTCCCAGACCACAGGCCTGCCCGAGTCCCGCATCCAGGTAAATATTTGTTGATGGAGCAAGAAAGATATAAAGATGAAATAAATACAGTTTGTAAGTTTAGATTAGGTTAGGATTTCATTTTTGTTTAATAAAATAACAATAATTATGACATTATTTGACCTGCAAGCTGGTTAAAGACCCTCGTGGACTTTGTACGTCTTCCGCTGTTGCTGTGTGGGGACTTGATACCGCGGTCACTGTATGTCTTTATCTGTTGAGATAACACCAGCTGTTTTTATCAGGAGCTTATCTGAGGGAAGAGACACACTGACAGCTGATAGCTTCTGCTTAAAAGAGAAAGATGATTATTAACACAGCAGAATGGAGTGCTTTAGCTGTAGCTCACGTATTTTTCCTTCATTTCCCGTCCAGGTGTGGTTTCAGAACCGAAGAGCTCGCACCCTAAAATCAAAAGGATCCAGCAAAGACCAGTGCCAGTCTCAGATCCCAGCGGACAGTTCACAGGCTCACCACCACACACAGGCCTTCGCACCTCAAATGCAGCAGGTGTTTAACAATGGACAGTTTCCTCCTGCCTTCAATGCCACCGGAGCATATGGACAGTGTGGAGCCGCGTATGGGATTCAACCAGGAAGCTCAATGGGCAATAACCCCAGCTCAGGCCTGTGGGAATACATGCCTCAGCCAGGCTGCCAAAACTCCACTGGGGTTCCTGCATGGCATCAGCCTCCCATGGAGATGGTAAGCTACAACTCAAGCTCCAGCCAGGCCGCCTCCATGTACCCAAGTTCAGACATACATGAGCTCCTTCAAATATTCAAAGCAGACACTCCTGATTCTGGATTCTTCAACAGCAGCCAAGAGAGCAGCCCAACGGATTGTCTGGAAGTTCCGAGTTCGCAGATGGGGAGTATTCCGACTCCAGCACCTCTTGAGTACGGCAGGGATGCAGGACATCCGCCAGTGGTCCAGGATATCTCACTGCCAGTGCTGTCATTGCAAGATATCATATGGGAGCTGAATGAGGAATGGATGGGAGGAAATGGACTGGACAACGGAGTCACTGGAGAGGAGCCCCCTTACTACTGATGGCTATGATGAGTATTTTTAATGGCTCAAGTGTTTAACGTAGGATCAATAGTTTCAAAATATTTTTTAAAAGGCCATGTTTTTGCAGTATTTACTGCACATTTTTTGATTTTTTTTTTGATTTTCTTCAAGTTTACTTAAAAAAAATATATATATATATGTAAAAAAAAAAAGAACTAAACAAAAATCAATAGTTATATTGCATAATACTGTTTTCTTGGCTTCCCCTTTCCAAGAATGTACTCTCAGCTAATTCATGACCAGAGATTTGGCTCTGCTCACATCTGCACAGCCGCTGCTGTCCAGATGTGACAGATTTGGTATGAAGCTGGGGAGGAAACTAGGTCACATTCTACAGCCAGTAGATGGTGCCTGTGAGTTGTAAATATGAGAAAAAGGGGATTTTCTTTTTGTGCAGAGACATTATGAAGCGTAATATAAAAACGTGTTAAATCCCAATGAATGCTGAAATTACATGTAATCTGTAATAAGACTTTATTTAAAAAATAATTATAACGAAAATAATCTATAGATGATTATTTTATAATGTTTCCATTTTGATTGGTTAATTTTAAGGATCTGATAACAGAGGATGTTGTTTGCTGTAAAGATTCTGAAGCTCTGTGAGGTTAATTATTGTTTTGGGAAATGAAGATGTTGATATAATATATTTGATTCTGTTAAGCTTTGTTCTTATGTTACATGGCTGATATATAGTGTGTGATAATATAGAGAATATACAACTATGATTATGATTCTGTTATTATGTTCGCATGTTTTGCCAATAAAGTTTATTCTAAATGAACGTTCACATTGCCTCCATGACTCATAACTTACAGCACAGTACTGTGACATCATGGTATCCTGATACAGTGATTCTTGTTCTGTAATTTCTACTTTGTTAGTATTTTTTTTTGCCTTGAATTCAGTTTAGTTTTAGTTTATTTGTTTTTTTAAATTTTATTTTAGTTTAGTTTTTCAAGTTCAAGTTGAACAAAGATGTTTTTTTCACAGCTAGTTTTAGTTTTCAGTTTAGTTCCTGTTAACTATAGTGAGCGGGTAAAAATATCCACCCAGTTATTTGGTTTTTATTACAGGCTTTTATATTTATCAGCTCTCTGCCTGTGCTGCCTTTCATTTCTCTTTTTTCCACCTGTGAGTGTCTTCTTGTTCATGGCAAGGAGGTTAACTTCTTTTCTACTTTAATATTTTATATGTGATACAAGCAACCATGAAGTGCTGAGTCTGGTGAAGGAATCGATTTACATGGCTGCATTTTTTTTGACAAAAACACAGATATTTGTCGATTATTGCATCACAAGAGGAGATTAGTGTGACCACTTCAGTCTAAAATACAATCAACCCATTTTTTCCAGAGTTATGGTGTTGAAGAGGTGAGAGAGAAGTATTTATTTATTTATTTATTTTGTAAAACATGATGTCAGTGAACTTTAACTCCGACCACCAGTTTTCCGTCAGGTCATCCTTGAATCCAAGTGAAAATTTGTGTCAGATTGCCAGAATCTAGATTAATGCAGCTTTATATTACTGTATAAAAAATATTCAAACATAAAGGCACTAACGACCAAAAACTAGAAGCTATAAACAAGGAAATAAAGCTAGGAAACTGGAAAACAAAGACTGGAACAGAGAGCTAGGAATTACCACAAGCATGGAGGAAATCACACAGTTATGTGGGACAAAGCAACAACAAGCAGAGGAAGACAACGGGCTTAAATACACAGAGGGGTAACGAGGGAAGTGGAAACACAGCTGGAACAGATCTAACATACTGAGACGGGGAGGAAGCAAAACTGAATGCACTGAACACGGGGCAAGCAACTATCAAAATAAAACAGGAAATATGAGACACACAACAAGAAGCCAACTGACTGAACACAGAGAGCAGAGGGAGCGAGAGACACGACTGGAACACAGATGAATAAACACGGAGACAGAACTTATCATACATGATAGACATGACAGATCAAATACAGGGAACGCAGGAAGAAGACAGAGAGGCATCAAAGGGGGAAATGCAAAAGGAACTAAACGATCTAATCAGAACTCGTAAGCACAAGAAAACTAAAAAATAAATCACTCAGGGAAAATAACTAAACTCACAATATAATTTCAATATTTACATTCTGATGATGTAGAAGTGTATGAATCAAATATGATGGTGGTTAAACGTAGTACTGTTAAGTGCTTTAAATATGCAATATTCCAAATCGCCAACAGGGGGCGACTCCTGTGATTTCAAAAAGGGAGTGTTTATACAGAAGTCTTTGGGGCAATTGTCTGCAGATCTGTGATGAGTTGATGGGCTTTATCTCTAGTTTCACATCTATTGAATACAACATGAAGTTTATTTTGTAAATTATGTTCCCTGTTAGAGCCAATCTGGTCTTTAAGTGATGACATATGAACCCTGCTTCCAGGTCCAAACTACTCTGCATTTATTAAGGCTGTTGTGTTTTTAACATGTTTGAATGCTTTGTATCCTGTTCTGTTTAATCTGAACAAGCCCCTAAAAGAAGTCAGTGATCACTGTCGGCCTCTCTCGGTTTTTATTAGCACTATTCATTTTAAAGCTAAAACCATATGATGTGACTACAGCCCATTAAACTAGCAAGCGAACTCCCTGCTAGCTTCTAACACCGTCAAAATTCTGTTTTCATGGATGCCTGGATGTCAAACTTAATTGTTACACCTGGTAGAGAAGCAACACGGATCATTTGATTAAAGATGAAAGAATCTGGACAGTTTGTAACTCTCAGTGATGCCGCAGTGTTTGTTTGACGTTGGGACCTGAAGCAGAGTTTTGGCCCAGAATTGACTAATGATGTCAGACTTAAAGACTGGATAAGGACAATAGAGCAGGGCATGCTTGTGGTTGGGTCTTCTCTGTAATTTATACACCACATCCCGTGGTGTATCCCTCAGTTTTGGAGTTTTTGGAGACAGCAAAATTGCTCCGCTTGAAACTTCACATTGGGTAATCACTAATGGGTGAAGCTATGGTAGCTACATCCATATACAGGGTTACACCAGAAACCTCTGGATGTTGCAGTAATATTTAATGTTGACAGCTGAACCCTGGGGGACCAATGCTGGCTACACTGTGAACTGTGCACTATGGATGTCGTTCTCCTGATCGGATGCGTTGGCTAGATATTTGAACTTTGTGGACTCACTGGGGGATTTGAGGGAGACCTCTCTCATCACCCGTGTTAATCATAGATATGTAAGTAAGATCATGTTGACGGGCTATAAGCTATCTGAAATTTATTTTCTTACATTTTGTTTGTTGGTCTGTAGGAACAGTCCATAGTGCCACATTTTATATTTTCACAAAGAGCCACTCTGTTTACTTTCCCCGAGCACCAGTGACCCTAAAAGCCAAGGTTAACCTGTCAGGTCAAGATAAATTTAATTTCATCATTTTATATTCTCTGCATGAATGTCCTGTGACTTCCTCCGACCTGATGACCTGTACACATGTTTCCTTATCAAACACGCCAAGGAAAAAGCCCAGGATAGTACACAGGATGTCAGGCTCGAGGCTTTGCACTGTTTTTCCTGCAACAGCGAAACGTGCGTATATTGTTTGTACTGTTTTGGCCTCCTGCCTTCATCCTTAAGATGAGAGGAAGGGAGTTGTCCTTTTGTTAGAGTCTGGCGTGGGTTCCTGTCCCTTAGGATAAAAAAAGAGACACACAATAGGCTAAGACGCAGGAGGCAACGTGGCTCTTCAGCCTGTTGTGGTCCCTAAAGATAGATCAGCAGAGGAAATGTTGCAGACTGTTATTGCCGAGCAGGTGTTCACAAGCACATGATGCATAATAACAAGATGCAGACAGCTGAGAGTAAAGAATACTACTACTGAACCAACATAGGATTGAAAGCAGTTCTATTTGTGTTTCTCTTTCAACAACCGTCCCCCCCTCGAGTCCTCAGTAACAGACTCAGCTTATATTGAAAAAGTGATATAAAGTGACCCTGATATGGCCAGCTTTTCAGGTTTTTAAACTTATTTCATTTCTCTATTTGAACTACCCCTCAATAAGTCTTGGCATGGATATCAGTTATCTGTTCCCCGAAACAGTAGCCGATCACTAAGAAGCTAAGTCGTCAGATCATAAGTGATGGGTTCCCAGATTGTTTCAGCTGTCCCCCTATGGGTGTGTTTTGAGATCCAGGAAAGAGCTATTATAAAAATATAATTCAAACTTCAGTCCGTCCTTGTGACTGACAGGATTAAACAGGATGAAATGGCAGTTCTGTCCACTGACACGAGTCATGAGGCCAAGCTAAAAGTTTTTGCCAGTTTGTTTGCATGTTTGGAAATGCCATTTCCCTTCTTTTCACTTATATAGTCTTGAGAGATCAGCCCATAAAATATCCTGAAGACGTCATATTATTCCAGCAGAGCACTTCACTCTGAGACTGCAGGTTTACTTGTGGTTCCTTTGAGTTTCTAAAAGTAAAATGGGAGGCAGAGCTTCCGGCTGTCAGGCTCCTCTCTTGTGGGACCAGCTCCCAGTTTGGGTTCAGGAGACAGACACCCTCAGTACTTCTAAAATTAGACTTTAAACATTCCTTCTTGATAAAGTTTATAGTTAGCGCTGGAACAGTGAAATCAGTGGAAATTATACTTGCATTATACTTTTGTTTCTTTGTAGTTTTGTATCTTGTTTGTATCTCCTTCAGTGACAGACTGCTGCATCCTAGATGCATGAAGGAGCGTTTCCGCAGGTCCTTCCTCCCTGCAGCTGTCAGACTGCAAAATCAAAACTGCTCCCAACAAACAGATGTTTACATCAGCGCTGTAATTTGCACCAATAAACCAAACAACTAATACTGTTATAACTTGCACATTACTTTTCTCAGTGTATATACACTAACTTATTGGAAGTTAAATGTACTTTTTAATGCACAGGTACAATACACAATCTGTACTTTTCTAATTATTCTAAATATTCATAACTATTTAAACATCTTTCAATTTCCTGCGCTGTTTGCACACTACAACCTGGGTTTGCCACATATCTGTACTTTAATTTTAATAACTGTACAGTACTGTTTTGATAACTATTGTCCATGATGTAAATATGTAA